TGGGATAGGAATACCTCCCATCATGATACTAATCGAGATTCAGACCGATCTATTTCATGATAGATGCCCAAGGTGAGCCAGCTCCAAGTCGCAATAGAGGGCCAATGGAAAAAGAGAAAATGGTCTAAAAGCTTGTGAGAGAGAAAGGACATATATCCACATTGATGAGTTTTGTACTGAGCAACCATGATGGTGATAAGGAATCTAATCTCGACTGTATGATGATCATGTAAATCACATGATCAGTTTTCAATTAAATTCCTCACAGATTTGTACCCTTCCTAAATAGAGATGGTCCAATGTACGAGGCTCTCAGAATTGTGAAGTCTGAGGAGGGTCTAACGTACATAACTTTATTTTCACATACTAAGAGGTTGTATCAATAACTCGAACTCTTGAAGTCCAATCAAATTCCACTCTCACCCACCCTGACTATAAGAATGAAAAATGTGAGAGGAAAGACTAAAAAGAATGAAGATTCTATCTATGACTAAAATACTTTACTCAGGGTTCTCATTCATGAGGATCCATAAAACTTTTCCAAATGGCACTATGGGTACAAAGCTTTGCTCCTCTTTTTGCCTCCAGCACAGCATCAGCTTATTAGCTCCTCTTCTTTTCCTTTTCTAATGAATGAAACTTCCAAAAAGGACTAAAATCAGAGAGTAACACATTTTCAGCATTGTTCTATTGGAGCTGAGCATGACATTTGTTTAATTGCTGGTTGCCATAGGGCAAGAATGCAGATTATCTAAGATATAAAATAAGACAGGTTTCAATAAATTCATTCGATGGTTTTAAATAGATTCATCCAATGGCCACCAACATCTCTCTCAAAATTATTCACACTGCACTGTGTCTTCAGACACGACTAACCTTTACTGTATTAACAATACAACACACAACCATGGTATTATACAATATGATAGCTTATGATTTAATAGAAAATAGATAGTGTACAATGGAGAAACAAGATTTATAAAGTTGACTCTAATAATTGGGTTAAAGACTTTGTTAAGGTGAGTCGTGTTGAGCCACGGTATCATACGGTGCACTAGCATAAAAAAATATTGCAGCAATAAAATCAGTTCATGCCAAAATATCTTATCAAAAAATATACGTTTTTTTGATTTGAATGAAAAGTGCATAAACAAAAGAGATGCTGTGAGAAATTTATCTCTCACGAATATTCTAGTCTTAGAGCGGATAACAACTAGACCGGAGAAGGGATTAATCGAGATGCGTGTAAGCCGATCCGGACACCCTTGACCGTTGAACCAAAAAAGGAAAAAGAAAAAAAAGAAAGAGATGCTGAGGCAGAAAATATCATAAAGAGAATGAAGACACGCATGCTTGACTTATTTGAAAAGCTAAATAGCCATGCTAGGGGCTTATCTAGCCAGCTAAAAATGTTGTGCAGGAAAGAGTTGTTCTCTCACGTTTAAGATCATTAGCCACAGCCAAGAAAAGGCCAATGCACAGCTTGCAGTTATCACGTGTAATCTTATCTCCAAATCCATAATTTTACCTAAAAAGTGAAGGAAAACCACCTAGTTAGAGATTTAATTTCCCCCTGATTTGCAAAGAAAGCAACATCCAGCTCAGAGAAAGGCAACCCAATCATAGATACCGGGATCGCAGTTATCCCAGGCGTTTCCACGGCCCTACGTGGGGTGAGTTCGCGATCTACATCCTCAAAATTCCTGACCTCAATTTATAACCCCAATCCACCTGCCCCGGCCCCACTGTGTCCCTTATCTGTCCTCCAGGGGCTATATATAGAGCAGCCATGCCATACTTCTTTTGCACATAAAAAATCTCTCTTCTTTCCATTGCTGTTTGTTATAGCTACTAGTTAATTAGTAGCATTTGCAGTACAGAAATGGCGTTGAATTCGACATGGACTGCTAAAGAAAATAAGCTGTTTGAGAATGCATTGGCTATCTATGACCAGGACACACCTGACCGGTGGCAGAAGGTGGCCAAAGCAGTGGGTGGCAAGACTGTGGAGGAGGTGAAGAGGCACTATGAGATGCTTGTGGAAGATGTCGAGCACATTGAGTCTGGTCTAGTGCCCTTGCCCAAGTACCAAACAACTGGAGGTACCAGCAAAGGATGCAAACACATGGATGAAGAACAGAGGTAACAATGTAAAATTACACACACCCTCCTTGCCATTTTCTTCATAGCTGCTAAGTCCTCTCTCTCTCTCTCTCTCTCTCTCTTGCAGGCTGAAGTATATGAAGCTGCAATGAAGCAAGTACCAGAAAGCATAACAAGAGGGGTCCATTACATTTACTTGCCAACTCTAGAAATCAAATACAAAATAGTGAATTTTGCCTTTGAATGTCACATTTTCATTTATGCTCTGATACATGTACCAATGAAGAGTCATTGAGAAGAGTGATTCAGAGTTCCTCATAGGCTAATGTTGTAATGGATTTGCATAAAAAATGTTTTATTTTTGTTTTGAATCATCATATGTTGTTATTCAACATCCCATATCAAGATTGCAATTGAGAGAACTTCAACTTGCCAAAAACAATGAGGTAAAAAAGGAATAGTATGACATGACACCTTTTGTTCATTCCGTCTAGACGCGACATCCTTTCTCATTATGATCTACCTTTCTTTCTTTCCTCTCAGCTATTCGCGTATTAAAATCGTCCTATGTGTTTTTGTGACCAAAAACATGAAATAAAGGGAGTTAGTGATAGTGCCACAAACTAAGGGGCTACTCCAACTCATCATAAACCTAAAGGGTTTCGGTCGTAATATCCCTGATGACAATAATGAATTGCAAAAATGAAATTGGGTAAAAAGCATAGTTGGCCCTTGAAATTTGCATTTGTTTTTAATTTAGTTTTTGAATTTTTAATTATTCTCACTTTAGTCCTTCAACTATCAATTTTATCTTAATTAAATCTTTTTATTTATTTTTACCGTTCGATCACCAATGCTAAAATGGCCAATCCTTTAGTTATTTTCAATTGATCGCTTACACGATAGCTTTTTTATTCTTAATTTATCACTTCATTCTGTCATCAAACACAAAGAACCAATCACCACAAACAATTCAAAGTAAACGAGCAAAATAGCATTGACTTCAAACATTTTTCTATGAAAGCTCCTCCCTAACTAGCACTCTCATTAAATAGTAAATAACGGTCTTGTATTTTACTCAAACTTCTGAGAATCTTGATGTTCCACGAATGAATGAATGAATGAATACATCTGATTTGATAAAATGAATTAGATTGAGCTAGTCTCCAATTGATCTATTAGTAAAAATTGATGCAAAGACTTAGTTAATATGAAATTAATAATTGATTGACGTAATTAGAATAATTAAAAGTTCAAGAATCAAATTAAAATTGAAGGCAAAGTTTACTGGACTAAACAAGCTAGACTAGATTTTGGGTGGAGAAACATAGGGCTTAACAGAAGTTAGGCCTCCCCAGTAACAGCCCAACTCCAATTCAATTATGAAGATCATTACAGCCCAACCAAACTGGCCCATATTTTACTAAATTATACCGTATTTTTTAGGGTTTGTTTGGATGAAATTTTGGAGAGTATTTGCATCGGTTTCTCTAAACTTTTTTAAATTCAAACCCCTTTTTATAAAGATGAAATTTAACATTAAATCTGGTTTATATTCATGTTTGGTGTGTAACACATACACATATAGAACACATGAATATATCATAATTATTAACAAATATTTGTTTTATAAATGACTATTTTACCCTTAATCAATTTAATTTATACTCATGTGAATTGTTAAGAGATATAATTGTCTTTTACATCCTTAACTCCTTAATTCAAATATGGAATTTGTGGATCTTTTAGACTATTTTTCTTAAACTCATTTTGTCAAGTCTCTCCATACCTCTTTACCAAACAGCTTCTAAAAGAGAAAAATATTGAAGATAACATAATACCGCATCATCAATATTATGTATTATTATCAATCAATAATAAAATATTAAAATAAATATAGTGGACTTTGCTAAGCCCCTTTAATAACTACTGTTAACTATTTTATTTAAAGACTATCATATTAGAATAGTGTGTGGTCCACTAATTTTATTTACTATTTTATAATTATTTGTTGACAAGATATGGTAATGATGCGGTGTTACGCCCAATAACTACTCCTTCTAGAGGACATAATCACAATTCTAAAGTCAAAAGGTTGGAAAGGCATGTCTTATTTTAGGGAGAATTATATTTCATACCCTAAAAAATTTTAATTTTTTATTTTGTATCATGAAAGATTAGATTTGTTATGTTGTACATTTATTATATTATAAATATTATAATATAATTTTTTTGTTAGCCTGTCAATTACTACATTGACATTAACAGAATGAATAGCAGAATAGAAGACCATATTATAATACTTTTATTAAGTTATAATGTGAAAATTTTAATTTTTAAAAATATAAAATAAAATTTTTAAATCTTTCGAGGTACAAAGTAAATTAATCTTTATTTTTTTTTATTAAAAAAAGGGAGGTCACTTTCCCAAAAAACCTAAGGAAGCAACTAGTGAAGATCATTTAAAGGGGAAAAGCAATCGAGCATCGAAGATCTTTCAATCACTAAAATACAAATAAATAATTAAAATTAACGGAAGGGTCTCAAAAATTTACTCGATTTCTACTCTACTCCTTAAAGTTTCAACTTTGTCAGTATAAATTCAATTTGATTAATAAAAATTGATTAAAAATGACGAATTTTTACTAATCAAAATTTTCATGTAAGCCTGTGATTGGACTGAATTAATTCCATGACCAAAAAAAAGAAGAAGAAAGGATGTAATGGATAAAAAAAACTTTGAGCGGCCAAATTTGAAAAATAGGTAAAATTTGGAGGTAAAAATGTTATTTATTAAGAGCATTAGACTATAGAGCATCAAACTCATACAGAGTTGTATATACTATATATTCTTCTTCGCGAACAGTGCCATCGGAAAAGTCAGACGGTCCAGAGTCCTCTCTCTCTCTCTCTCTCTCCCATCTCTCCGATTTCTTCGAAAAATTATCAAATCCAGTTCAATTTAGTTTAATCTTTTACCCCCTACACACCATCGTTTCTAGGGTTAATAATCCACCACCATGGACGGAGGTACCGGCGACAGCGGCGGCGACGGAGGTGGTGGCGCTCCCGTGGGGGTTCAGATCCAGCAGAGTCGGAGACTTCCTGATTTCCTTCAAAGCGTGAATCTAAAGTACGTAAAGTTAGGTTACCACTACTTGATCTCTAACTTACTGACTCTGTGTCTCATACCTGTAATGATTGGGATTCTAATCGAGGTTTCGCAAATGAACCCTGAAGATATTCTCCAATTGTGGTTTCATTTGAAATACAATCTCGTATCTGTTATTATTTGCTCGGCTATATTGGTTTTTGGATCAACTGTTTATATCATGACTCGTCCACGCCCCATTTATTTAGTCGATTATTCTTGTTATCGCCCTCCTGATGATTTGAAAGCTCCATTTAATCAGTTCATGGAGCATTCTAGGCTTACTGGTGATTTCGATGAGTCATCGCTTGAATTCCAGCGTAAGATTGTACAAAGGTCAGGGCTTGGAGAGGAAACTTATGTACCCGAAGCTATGCATTATATTCCCCCAAGGCCGTCCATGGCGGCTGCTAGGAAAGAGGCTGAGCAGGTTATGTATGGTGCTTTGGATAATTTGTTTAATAATACGAATGTGAAACCGAAAGATATAGGTATACTTGTTGTGAATTGTAGTTTGTTTAATCCGACTCCTTCACTTTCGGCCATGATTGTTAATAAGTATAAGTTGAGGGGTAATATTAGGAGTTTTAATTTGGGGGCATGGGGTGTAGTGCTGGGGTGATTGCGATTGACTTAGCCAAGGATTTGTTGCGAGTGCATAGGAATACTTATGCTGTTGTTGTGAGTACAGAGAATATTACACAGAATTGGTATTTCGGAAATAAGAAGGCTATGTTGATACCCAATTGTTTGTTTAGGGTTGGAGGTGCCGCTGTTTTGTTGTCTAATAAGTCGGTGGATAGGAGACGGGCCAAGTATAAGCTTGTTCATGTGGTGAGGACCCATCGTGGGGCGGATGACAAGGCGTTTCGTTGTGTTTATCAAGAGCAGGATGATAATGGGAAGACTGGTGTTTCTTTGTCAAAAGATCTCATGGCGATTGCCGGTGGGGCTCTAAAAACCAATATCACTACGTTGGGTCCTCTTGTGTTACCAATCAGTGAGCAGCTTCTGTTCTTTGCTACTCTGTTGGTTAAGAAATTATTCAATGAGAATGTCAAGCCTTACATACCAGATTTCAAGTTGGCGTTTGATCATTTCTGCATACATGCTGGGGGGAGGGCAGTGATAGATGAGTTGGAGAAGAATTTGCATCTGCTACCAGCACATGTTGAGGCTTCTCGGATGACTCTCCACCGATTTGGGAACACTTCATCGAGTTCCATCTGGTATGAGCTGGCATATACTGAAGCCAAGAGGAGAATGCGCAAGGGTCATCGAGTCTGGCAGATTGCATTTGGGAGTGGTTTCAAATGTAACAGTGCAATTTGGGAGGCGCTGCAAAATGTGACACCATCTCCTAATGGTCCCTGGGAGGATTGTATCAACAAATATCCTGTTAAAGTAATCTCATAGCTCAACAAGAGGTCGGTTAGACTTACGTTCCTGGTAAGGCTCATGAGTAGCCTAGCCTTTTTTTCTCAGTTTTTGTCCAAGCATGTGTTTTTGGTCTTTTTATTTGGTCATTGGAGTGAAGATATTTTTCCTTTCTTGTTTCTTTGATTTCTTAGGGAGTTAATCTTGTGTGTATTATTTCAAGTTGTTATGATGCATAACTTGGTCCATGTACTTAATTTCTAAGGGCACATTTGTTTTAATAGTTGTTTATCCTACTTTGTGTCATCCATTGCTATCAAACTGCTTCATGTAGATGAAAGCTGCTTGAAAGTACTGGCATTAGATTTAAGTTGAGTGAGCACAGAGAGATTTAATACCTGTGCACAAGGTGTGACTTTGCAACATCAGTATAAAGCGTGAGGCTTTATTCGTTTCATTAAAGATAGGAGGAGGTTTGATAATTTATCTTAATGGGATTGATTTTCACCTTAGCCTGACTGTTGGAGAAAAATACTTGGCCTTTGCACATTAGATATGGCCATCGCTCTTCAAAAGTTAAGACTTCATAAGAAATGAAGAAGTGGCTATTTTTACGAGGCTTTACCTATAGCTTCCTATAAACTATCAAAGATAAAGTGCCAAAGACTCACCTTTATTTTATCATGTATTTTGTCACATAGGAAAGGGAACATCAACACACCCAGGTTGCTGATATCATGAGAAATGAGCTGAATAATTGTACCTATGGGTGAGTCCAAAATGGGACAGGACTTTTGTAGTTTCTGTTGTTTTTTACATCTTTGTGGTGGTGTCACATAATTGAAGTGGGCTGGTACCCTCTACTGCTGTATGAGAGGTCTCACTGGTGGTTTTCTCAGTGAACAAGTTGAGCTACCTGCAATTTGACGTTCCCCTTTTAACGGTGAAGAAGGCAATGGTGGGCCTTAAGCATGGTTAAGAATGTCGATTTGTTCTCCTGCTAATTCTGTCAAATATAGGTCAGGTCACTCTTCTGTGACCAACATATATGCTCAATATCAAATCTGGTGAGCCTCTATAAAATGTTCTTGATGTCAGTTTGGCTACTATGTTTGCTTACCACCTGTCGTTTACTTTCTAAGAGCTCATGATGCTGGTGTGTAGGAAGAACAATATATCTTTGAAGGTTCGCATTGTAATATTAAAAAATAGAAGAGTTTAGACTAATTATTTCTGGTCAATAATTGGTTGATTATCGTATCGCTTTTCTGTGTTACTACATTGCTAAGTTACCTGACATGACCTTAATTTCATATTGAATAGTTAAACATGACCTTTATTTTATACTGAATAGGTGATCTTCTAATTTTGGATCGACTACGTTTTATAGAGAAGTCTTTATTTGTACAGTTGGATTGATTGCTCATGTTTTCTTTTACAAGTTGCGTTCATGTCTACCAGCCACTCACAGGCATTCTATTTTAACTGGCAGCTGTATGGTAGTGACTGGTTAGTGGATGAACTTGTTTGCCATTTTTACTCTCGATGTACAGCGGAAAGGGATTGAGAAAAAGGAACTGAAGGGAGATATCATATGGCTCCATGTGCCTGGCATTACACTTTCTGCACCTGTATACATTGTGTGTGTGTGTGTGAGAGAGAGAGAGAGAGAGAGAGAGAGAGAGAGAGACTACAATTGGGAGACAAAAGTCTGTTAATAAATGAATCCCCACTTTGGAAAAAAAAATTTGATACCATACCTAGAAAATTTACTGTTTCAATAAGTATTTTTATAACTTTTGTAGCCAATTTTACAACTAAAAAATTTATAATTTTTGTGGGTGATATGTAATATTTATGGGTGTTTTTATAAGTGTTGTTGGTGATTTTATTATTGTTGTGGTAACTATTGTTTTCGGTAAAAAAAAAATTATTATTTTTGTGGGTAATTTATCACATTTATAAGTATTTTTACTATTATTATGAGTGTTTTTATTATTGTTGTGATAATTTTTTTATCACTTTTTTTTGTATCACAATAATAATAAAAATATTTACAATAATAATAAAAATATTCACAAATTTAATAAATAGATCTATAATACGGATATTTTTTTTTCTGTACCATGGACAACTTCCTGTGGAGACTATTGCTTTGCAAATCGTGCTAGATGATGAGGTTTGACTTTGTAGTCCCAAAATACCCGTGCGATGACATATTGAAACAGTCACCGCAAACTATGGAACCAACCCTACCCCCGAATCTTCCAATGACGGAAATCTTTGTACTACTCTGGACCAACCATTCATAAACATCTGGGGGCATGTTTGGTTGCATTATTAGGTTTTGGTGGTATTATATATTATTTTTATTTCATTCTTATTTAATGGTATATAATACCCGGTCTTGAACTTGTATTTCATCTTTTTTTCTTGTTTGATAGGTATTATAATGGGTCCTACAAATAACTATCTATTCTTTTACATTTTATATAACAAATATACCATTTTACCCTTAACATCTTTCATTCCATTTTACCCTTAACTATCTATACAAGGAAAAAATTTAAAATAATTTTAAAAAAAATCAGTAACACCGTACGCTTAAACATAATATAAGAAAAAAAATTCAAAATAATTTTTTTAAACAAAAATTAAAAACAAAAAAAAAACCGGTAACACTGTACGCTTAAACATAATACAAAAAAAAAAAATTCAAAATAATTTTTTTTAAAAAAATGGTATCATATGCTTGAACATAATACAAAAAAAATTTTTAAAATAATTTATAAAAAAAAATTAAAAAAAAAACCGGTGACACTGTACAGTTAAACATAATATAAGGAAAAAATTCAAAATAATTTAAAAAAAAAAAAATTGGTGACGCAGTACGCTTCAAAATTATTTTTTTTAAAATTTTTTTAAAAAAAACCGGTAACACTATACAATTAAATATATTACAAAAAAAATTCAAAATAAAATTTTTATATGTAAACTTTTCGCATAAGAGGACATTTGTGTCATGTTACTCACTTATACCGTCCTTTCACTTGTACCGGAAAGACAATACCACCTAATAGGTGATATTGTTTAGTACCATATAGAAGGTATTAAAGTAATTATTCAAACCGGGTCGGTACTATGACCCGAAAAATAAAACCGAGTTAAAAAAGTCAAACAAATAAGGTATAAAATAGACCCAAGTACTATTTCCCTAATGTTACCCCTTTGTACCACGCATATCCTCAGAGCAAACAAGCCCCTGAAGTTGTGACAGATCAAGACATGAATCATTGTAACAGTGGTGCCACCACCAAGAACTCAGAGAAGATATAATAGCATTGCCAACAATATTTGCACCAGATATTGAACAATATTTCAACTATAAGAATAGTCTTTACGTGTTACAAGTTTTAGCCATCGACACCAACTATCGCATAAGCCGTTCACTTCTACAATTCAAGATATATGGGTAAATTTCAGAAACAACTGGACATACAAAATAAATAATACTAAAATTTATAGGAAGAACTCATGAAGAAGTGGAGTGGTACAACATGAGGAATCCAAATGGTCGTATGCATGGTAAATGAAAATTATAGCTGCTTTATTGTAGTCAATAATTCAAAAAACGTGAACAAGAAAAAAAAATAGAGGAAACGATAGAGAAAAAGCAAACATTACATGTGCACAACATTTGTGGAATCCTGCGAAATGGGAGACAGGACAACGGTAAACATTTTCTCATCATCTGAAGGAAAACTGGATCTCCTCCAGAGTTTTTCCCTTTGTCTCAGGAACCCAAATCGCCACAAATGCCACAGTAATAGCACACATAAGCATGTAGAAGGTGAAGGTTCCTGTTAGTGAAGCAGGAAGGTTCAATCAGTCAGGAAGCAAGAATAATAATAAGGGTGTTAATCCACCAATAATTCAAAGCTGAACATTGCATACAACCAACATCAGATCTATGCCAACTTTCTGTGCTATATTCTGCTTCTGCATGTAGCATGCTCTGGACCGTTGTGCACGTGCACACATGAGCATGCATGCACAGAAATGTTATACACGTAAATATACCCAAGAGAGATGGGCAAACCTCCATTGCTCCAAGATAATAGCAAGGGTGCAGTCATCGTGATCACCCAGGAAGCGAACCAGTTAGCTAACGTTGCCACACTTCCTGCAAGGCTTTTTATTTTTACTGGAAGAATCTGCAAAATTCCAGAGACAGGAACATGGGCCACAGCATTAATCGCAGATCAAAATTCTGTAATTACACTGCACTACAATGCCTATGAAAAGTCTAACTTCATGCGTAACAAATTTGTTCCTTTAAGTTGAGCGTGGTTCAAACTAGAAAATGATCAAATAGAGCCAAAAACACTAAAACAGTGTTAGATATCACATACAAAAAAAATCAAGAGGCAAATTTCTAAAAGTAGGTCAGTATCCAAATTCAAAGTTTAGTTGAGTAGTTGCAAATGGAATGCAGACATATCCACCATAGACACCATGCAGCTTGAAACAGCAACCTACGAATCCAGCCATGGTGAGTGTAACTTGGCTTAAAACATTTATTTTGGAAGTCAATACTGGACCCAGATGAAAGGTTTGCAAGGACCAAGAATTTAAAAAGTTTGGAAGGACCAAAAGCTAAAGACCTAAACCAAAAAGGAGGAAACGGACCACCAGAATTTGCTATTCAAGGAAAGATCCTTTGCCTTCCCTTTGTGTATATGGATCCAAAAGTTTCATTTTCTTTTGTTGATTATTTCTTAAGTTGTTATTCAGTGTTTAGATATTTTAAGCAAAATCAATAACAGGTGGCATTTGGTTTGTGCTTTCAAAAAGCCCCTAAAAAATGATTTTTTACTTCGCCTTGCTAAGATTTGCTCTCTTCCGCCAGCAATTTGTAACTCTTCGCCCAACCATAATCGCATGGATGGTTGCTTGTTCACCAAGATGTACATATATTACTTACAAAAGTCATTGAACAAGCTTTCACATTTTTTATACTTAAGATTTTAATCAAAAAAGCAATAAAAACATGAAGTAACTTCTACTCATTGAAAAAACTTCTAAGAAGTGTTACTAAATGGAGCCTCATGAACTGAAAAATCACTTTTTAGTTTCCTCTGCGAACAAATGATGAGGTCCCCCCTCCTCCCCCAACAGAACATAAACAACCCAAAAAACCAAAACAAGAGTAGAAAAGAAAATAAAAAAAGTAGCAGTGCTGTTGTTTTAATCATGTCCGTGGGCATGCATGAAATGAACAAGCAAATTCACCAAACTGGAGACACAATATGAAATTACATGGTAAATCATATATGTCTACCTCAGACATTATAATCCATGGGATGGGCCCCATTCCAAGAGAAAAGGTGACGATCATACCCTGAAAGAAAAAGTGGGTAAGAATTACCAAGGAATTGAAGCAATGTAAATTAAAGAATTGTCGTATACTTGGGTTACAATCAGAAGACATACCACTACCCCAACTACAGATAGAATGCCCATTACACTGTAGACATTAGAACTATCGGAGACAAAATCCTGAGATCAATTTGAATTGCAAGAAAAAATTTGAGGGTGTCATTCGCATATAAGAAACATGAAGTATTTTTGAATGATTCATCACCTCTATAAAATATGTGGGTTGTGAATTCAATGGTTGAAGATAAGGACAAAAATATCCATGGGAATACTACCTTCACAAAAAATGAAACTGCAACAACTAGGAGGCTAAGAGCCATGCCAGAGGAGGAGACCTGCAACCAGAGAACAAACAGATTCCTTTTTCAGCTAGTCCGGGGAGTTAATGTCATCTGGACTACATAAAAAGACTAGTTCGCTACTACTCACAAGAAGTAAAAGCCTACGGCCTGTTTTGTCCACCAACCATGTAGCAACTGCAGTGGCAATAACCTAAACAGTGCAGAAATTCTTGTAAATTAGTTGAGAAGGAAAAAATCTCATGTCGTATTAGAGTTCTGGAATAACAAAACAAATTTGCAAGCAATCCTTTGAGATATACCTGGACCGCACCAAGCGCACATGTAGCAGCATTACTTGATGAAATCCCTGGTCAAATGAGGCAACTTATAAGAGCCATCCAACTTGAACTGAAATTAAGATTTTTTCCTTCCACATAATGGACACCAAAATGACAAATGTAAATAAATAAGAGAAACATCCGACCTGATGTAATAAATTAACGTTTTACAAAATCGGAAACTATTTAGCAAGACAATTAGCAGGTTGTGGACTATTTCAGGGCAGGTTGCTAGTTCTTTCAGCAATAGTTGATGAAATAGTATCAGAGGATTAGAAGACAAACTCATGACAGGATGTCAGAACATAGTTGGAGTAGTTTAAGTTTAAGAATAAAGACAGTAGCTTGCAGCAAGGAGCTGTTCCTTAAAGATTAGAAGTAAACTTCTAATCCTTTAGAAAAAAATTAAGAAGCTCAATTGCCCTTCCAACATTTAGAGCATTTGTGCACTACAACCAAAAAAATGCATTAGCACAAACATGAAAACCGTGATACTAACCAGCAGCTTGAAAAATAGTACTGGCATAGAAGAGTACACCATTAGTCCCACTTAGTTGCTGCAGCATAAGTAATCCGATTCCTATCTGCCAAATTTCAAGATTAAAGGTTACAGAAAAATAATTCAGTATGGTGAGTTATAATGTTCAAGTTGACAGTATAACTTAGACATAAGAAATTTAAAACTACTGGTTGACACAAATACCATCAAAGGTAGCCAATATCTTCTTAGTTTCAGGTCCGCAAAACGGATTGCAGTTCTTCTGTTTGTTGATGATGCTACAGACCTCTGCACGATGCAAAATGTTTCACTAAGAACATCAGCAAATAGCACATCACAAACAAATAATTTTCGGAAATCGATGCGGCAAAGATATTACATATATAGCGTTCAAGCTCATCAATGGTTTTCCACCAGGAAATTGCTCATATTAATGACAAAGATTACTGTTTAAGATAAGTACAATTATGAATTGGTGGTCATTTGAAATAAGGAGATTTGCCTTGATTTCATTAACTTCAAGAGAAATATCAGCATCAAACCCCCGAAGAACTTGCAAAGATGCTTCAAAATCATCCGTCATGCCCATTTT